CGGGAGAGGTGGGGGCCGCCTGAGAGGTGGGACCAGTGCAGAACCCGCAGGCGCCTGTCTGCGGGAAGGCCTGGCTTCAATGCGCTTTATAAGAAAGTAGGTCTGTTTAGAAAAGAGGCTGGAAAGTGGGGGGAGGTACAAGTTCCGAAAGCCGAGTGGGGCTGGGCCAGGCCTCGCGGGTGACGGGCCCGTGCCCAGGAGCCCCGCAGGGCCTGGCCCACCCTCGGCAAGAGCGGGCGGCGCGGAGGGTTCGGCGCTTGGGACGACCTTGGCCCTTTCTCCCGAGGACGCCAGTGCCGAGGAACTCAGAGGGCCCGGCGGGGGAGGCGGGTGCAGGCAACCGGCAGGCAGGTCTGTCAAGGGCACCCTCTTCTAACCCATAGGAACGGCAGCTGGTTTTATTTTAAAAATAAATAAGTAAAAACAAAGGTGGCGACTTCTCCCCTGGGGCAGGACTTCAAGGACAGCACCAGGTCCCACGTACCCACTCAGCCCCGCCGGGGTCCCCCAACGCTCCCAGCGGGGAGGCTAGTGCTCGGGTGCGCCCTCTGGGGGCACTGGAGCTTACATGAGGACTCATGGGGTATTCCACCTGGAAAGAATAGATGTGACCCAATAAAAAAACTTGGTAAAAGCCATTTTGCTCAGTCTGTGGGAAAAGAGGGAAAACACACAATCTCTCTATGGCACCCTTGAGTCCTTGCAGGGATCGGGGGTGAGGAGGGGGGCTGTGCCCAAGAGAGTCAGGGAGAGGGGGAATGTCTGGATAGCAGGGCGTCAGAACACCCTTGACCAGGAAGAGGACAGCCCGTCGCCCTGCAGCCAGGACGGTGGTGCTGGCCAACAGGCCGTGCACCAAGCGGAGCCTTTGCTTTTCACTAGGAACAAAGAGGAGACCAGGCTGTGAGCACGTCTGAAAAGACAGCCAGAGGACCTGGCAACGCACTACAGGAGAGACGACTGCATGGTTTGTCAAGTGAGAAAAATAATGCCATCAAAATGACTGTGACTGTGACTACTTAAAAAGTTTGGTTACCCATTCGGGCGGCGTGAGCAGCGCGGCAGGCAGGCAGGACCCGGCCTCCAGTGTGAGCAGCAGCGCAGGCAAGTGCCTGGGGCAGGGCAGCAGGCGTGGCCTGGGTGCCACGGGGTGGAGGGAGCCAGGGACAAGGCCACCCCAGGCTCCCCAAGGAAGTGCACGCAGAACAAAGATGGACCTCTGACGGACTCCTGACGGACTCGACCCATCCCCCCTCCACCAGAAGTTAGCACCTGGAGCCCTCAACCCCGGGGGCTCTTGAAGCTGTTTTGTGTTGAGCACCAAAGCCCAGGGGCAGCAGGGGCGGGGCCTTCTGTACACTGGACCTAGTTCTGCAGGTGGCCCCAGGGATGCGGAGCCTCAAAGGCAAAGGGCTACAGGCAGTGACCCGGCTGCTGAAAAGGGGCTGCGGAGGGGACGGGGTCTGGAGCCTTGGGTGCCATGTGGTGAGTGCCGACCTCCAGCCCTCGGGCCTGTGGCCTCGGGGCGACTCCACACCCGAGCAGTGCTGACGCTGACCTGGCCGCTGCGCCATCATGAGCCCAAGGCCAGGCCAGCCACATAGGCCCCCTTAATGCTCTCCCCACAGGCACCTGCCGGGGACCCTCTGTTTGTCCCCGAAGATGGGAACCCTCCCTACACCCCACAAACTTCATGTTTGGTCTCAGAGCCCCCGCTGCTGGGGCCACACCTGCTCCTGAGACCACAGGGCCAGCTTCTCTGTGTATGTCTGGGGGGTGGGAGCAGAATAAAGGGGGGCCTGGAGGAGGAGCTGCGAGGGGTCAGACGCCCCGTCCGGGCAAGGGAGACCCCTAAGCACACACCCAGGTGGAGGGGGTGGCACTGCCACCACCCAGCCCCCAGCACAGGGGCCTAGGAGATCCAGGCAAAGTCCTTGCCAGGCCCCCCTGGTGGGCTGCGGGGCCCCTGCGGCGAGTCCGCATCGTCCTTGTCGTCCCCCAGCAGCGTGTCCTCGTGGGCCAGGCCCACGTCGTCCTCCTCGCCCAGCTCCTCCTCACCCTCCCCTTGAGGGTCGTCCGGGTCCTCCAGGTAGGGCCCGTCGCCGGGGAAGAGCTCAGGAGAGCCCTCGGCCCCGCCGCCATCGAGCGGCTCCGCCGCCCCGCGGCCCGCGCAGTCAGCACACACGCCGTGGCGCCGGGAGCCGTGCTTGATGCCCACGCTGGCGGCCGACATGAACACCCGGCTGCACAGCTTGCACACATACTTCTTGTCCTTGCTGTGCACCTGCAGGACAGGGCGGTCAGTGAGTGGGAGCCAATGGCGTCCTGTTGGAAGAGGGTTTGCGAGGCTGTCCTTCCCTACTCACTAACACCGCAAGGCCGATGGGTCACTGTCCCGGGCACTCTTCACTTCCCACCCCGCTGGACCCCCAGCCGTCCTCCTGCCACGTCCGTCCACAAAACCCCAGCCCGGCCGGAGTAGCTCGGCGGTTGAGTGTCCACCTATGAACCAGGAGACCACAGGTTTGATTCCTGGTCAGGGCACCTGCCCGGGTTTCGGGCTCGAACCCCAGCAGGGGGCGAGCAGGAGGCAGCCGATAGATGACTCTCATCATTGATGTTTCTCTCTCCTTCTCCCTTCCTCTCGATGAAGTTAATAAAAAACACATTTAAAAAACAAAAAACACACCCAAACCGTGAAGACCTACCATGCTAATGTGTGAGGTCGGGAGCAGGACCTGGGGTGGGGTGTCTGCAAGGAAAACTGGGCAAGACTCTTGGTGCCAGGCACTCTGCTATAGGCTCTGGTTCTAGCAATGGGATTCCCAGGCCCCTTCTGGGTCTTCTTGAATGTTGGCACATTTTGAATCCAGGGTTTCCTCAATCCTCTCCCAAAAACTCAAGGCTTGATCTCAGAGAAACTGTCCGGGGAGCAGGCACCGCTGGGCAGGACAGTGGGCAGTTGGGGCAGGGACACCAGCTGCAGGGAGCTCGGGGCTGCACCAGGACACAGGAGCAACAAGGGCATTCGGGCCAGGACCAGATGGCCAGCACTCGTCCATATGGACTATTGGAAGGAAGGGGGAGGAGGGGATGTGGGCACCATGGTAACCATGGCTCCGCTCCTGAGATGCCTGCTGGGCAGGGACTCAACCACCTCCTTAAGGTCGGGGACCCTGGAGAAATTAAAGGGGAAGATACAGGTCCCCTCCTCAGAGGAAAACAAGCCCTCACCCTTCAAGTCTATTTTCGGGGATTTGGGGCCCTCCCTGAAGCCCAACCATGACCCCAGAATAAAATTCCAAGGTAAACGGACAACTCAGACCCTGACCCTCCAACAGGATCCATATTTACTGAACCGAGAATGTGGTTTTGCTAAAGAAAAGACATAGCTGCCCTGCCCGGCTGGGTGGCTCAGTGGTTGAGCATCAACCCATGAACCAAGAGGTCACCAGTTCGATTCCCAAGGGCTCATACCTGGGTTGCAGGTTAGATCCCAGGCCTTGGTTGGGGTGCGTGCAGGAGGCAACCAATCAATGTGTCTCTCACATCGATGTGTCTTTCTCTCCCCCTCCCTCCCACTTTCTAAAAATCAATGGAAAAAATATCCTCAGGTGAAGATTAACAAAAAAAAACAACCAACCAAACAAACAAAAGCATTGTGAATGTTCCCTTTGAAACCAGGGCACCGAGCTTAAAAATGCCTCTAGTCGTGACCAGTTACTTGTAACAGGCGTAGGAATTCCTATTAAATATCGAGCCACCTTGAGCCACCTTGAGCCACAGATGTCCCTTCAATCAACTCTACATGCTCGGCTTTAACAGCTCCTCAAGGTTGCTCATGAGTTAGTTTCCTTTGACTCACATGATATGTGTTCAGAGGTCACCGGCTCATTCTGACTTTTTCTACCAAAATGTATGAGCTTTCATTCAATCAAGATCATTAATTTTGATGTTCACCCTTCAAGTCTGGGTTCATGGTTGGGCTTTAGGGAGGGCCCCAAATCCCCAGGGTTTCATTGTAAATGATTTTTCCAGCTTCTCACGTAACTCTGCAGAAATTCTTGTATTATAACCTGTGTCAGTGTGTCCAAGGAGGGGCTCGGATTCCACAGGCACCTCCCGGTCAGTTCCTCAGTCGAGCCACACGGCCTACCTAGTTTATCTCACCACTCAAAGTCCCCTCACCCTGCCTTTTTTGGGAAATCTGCTTCCATTTCAAGGATAACCTTTTCATGTCCTGGCCAAGCAAACCTACCATTCAACATTTGCCACCTGGCAACTGGGAGCCAGGCTCCCACACAAGCAGGTAATGGACACGTTACAAGGGCGCGGGGAGCAAGGGCTCGGGTCCCACAAAACTTCCAGGCAGGGAAGTGATGGTGTGAGGGGACCCTGTGGGCCAAGCAGGGGTCGCATGGGGGAAGAAGCCTTGCTGAGGCGGGCTGGAGCCCAAGGACCCCGAAGGGAAACTGAGGGTGTGATGTGGGCCCTGCCTCTGCACCAGGCCTGGTGGTGGAGCCAGGTGGAGGGGGTGGCATTAAGTGGACCCCACTTCAGGGCTTTCTGTGCCCATGCAGACCACCCTTCTCCACCCTACCCGCAACCCCGAGAGGGCCCGAGCCTGCCCCACCCCACTCACCAGCGTGTGCCGCTTCATGTGCTCCCGCCGCGTAAACTTCTTTCCGCAGATCTCACAGGGGTAGGGCCGCTCGCCCGTGTGGGAGCGCATGTGGCGCTTGAGGATGCACTGGTGCATGGCAGAGAAGCTGCAGTATGGGCACCTGAACTTCTTCCTGATGACGGTGAACTCGTTGACTGAAAGACAGCGCACAGTGTCTCACCAGCAGCCCCTGAGCTGATCCACACAGACTCCCCACCCAAGGTTCGGCTCCCACCTGGCACAGGTGTCCCAGGTGCCAGATGGCCGGGATGAAGGCCAGAAGTAACCACATCCACTTCTCAGACACAGCTGACACCTTACATGTCAGCGTCTAAAATACAGTGATGTACAGATACACAATCGTAGCAGAAACACAGGATCCACACAGGGAAGCTAGAGGACAGCCCTGAGCCCGCAGCTCTGCTCCCAGCCATGGCCCACAGTGCCCAGGGACCGGCAGCCAGCTGCCCTGTCCACCTCCACAGGCTTGGGGCTCCGCACTGTGAATGCCCAGAGGGAAGGTGCTGCCCCGTAACACCAGTGAGGTGCCTAGTGGACAAAGCTGAGCGAGAGGTGGGTCTGCCCCAAACGCACAGTAAGAGAAGTGGGCAGCCTATGCCTCGGGGCGAGGCTCATCCCCATTCTAATTTTCCACACCGCAAGAAACCACGCCATGGGCGCCCAAGGGTAACCCTGGGGCCGACTGCACACCAGGATGCAGCCCTGCCCTCGGAGGTGTCTCATTCCACATTTCATCAGGTGGTCTCTTGGTGGCAGTTGGGGGTTTGGGGTCCCAGGTGTTAGCCCCACTGCACTAGGCCCCAGTGGGCACTGGGGCCGCCCAGACACCACAGTCACCCCTTCTTGAGCTCATAGATAGTCCTCCTCATACTCCAGAAACCCAAAGGCCTCCTGGGTTTCTCTGGGACAGCTGAGAGCAGCCCAAGTCCCACTGTTACATTTTCTCCTGTGTGAGGAGCCTGGTGGTAGACATCTGTCCTCCAGCACCTAGATGGAGCTTCCTGGGCCCTCAGTTAGCATCAGCACCCAGAGGACAGACCAACGGTCAAGAACACAGGATGCAGCTAAAGGTGACTGCTGGAATGAACACCACAGGATGGGGGACAGCTAATCAGGGCAGGGTGGCCTCCCACTGTACCCTCAGACCCTTTGCAAACATCCATGCATAGCAGGCCCTGGTCACAGTCACAACTGCCCCTGGAGGTGCCAAAAGGAAGGCAGACATGAGGACAAACACCACAGAGTCACAGCCCAGGAGAGCAGGGAGGGGTGGGAGCTGAGGTGACCCAAAGCCCTGGGCCCTTCCAGCAGGTTGGAAGACTGACCAGATCATTTCCATGAGCTCCACATACCGCCCCTGGGTCATCCATCACTTCAGAGAGGCAGGGACTCCCTCACCATCATCTCCTGGAAGTGTGCCCCACGGCCCTTAGCTCCATTCTGCTGCTTGGACCCTAACCATGGCCATGTTGCTGTGGAAATGGTGCCAACTGGACAGTGCAGAGCCTCAACCCTGAGCACAGTAGCCCCTGGACATGCATTGCGGAACTGGTTCTCACTCAGCAGCACATTTCTGAAACATGCCTGCTTAAATGCGGGGGAAATCTGAATGCTACATTCTAATATGCTTCTTAAAGAATCATCTATTTTCTCCCAAGAGCTCTCAAAGGGTGTCTAAATAATGGAGCAACCAGATTCACAGGTTTTCCAGCACATGACAGTGAGCGTCTGCAAGGTCTTCCAGAGGCCCCGACCATGCACACACCCGGGAGCTCTCTGCTCTGGGGTCTCCCACACACAATAGTCAGTGCACACCAGAGACACACCTCACAGGATGACCATGTTGTGTCAAGACCCATCTGGTAGGGTAGGCACTAGCATGACTCCACCGTCCTGCCTCACCTTCAAGCTCTTGCTGTCATGTATTACACTCCTATTTGTGTTAAAAACCCCAAGGAAACTAAAAATTGCTCTAAACATCAGGACTGTTTCTGTTGGTCACACAGTTACTCCCGATGTCACTGTTGCTCCCTTCAGTCTGTGCTTCTGTCTGGAGCACATTCCTTTGGCCTCAGGCTGTGGTTGGTGCTTCTTGTCAGCTGGCCATGAGTTCACTCACTTCTGTTTGTGTAATATCTTCATACAGCCTTGATTTCTGAAGGGCATTTTTGCTGGGTATAGAATTCTACGTTGGCAATTTTTTTGCAGCCTTTCAGTGATGGCATTCATAGTCTTGAGCTTCTGTAGTTTCTGTTGAAAAGTCAGCCATCAGTCTGCTCCTCTGAAAGAAATGTCTTTATTCTTTGACTGCTTTTAAAATTTTTCTTTTTGTCTTTGGTTTTCAATAACTTAACTATAATGTGCCCAGATATTTTTTTTGTTGTTGCTATTGTTTTATTTTGGTCTTCGTTCTGCTTTGGGTTTACAAAGCTTTTGAAAGTGTGGATTCATGTCTTTTATCAGTTTTGGAAAATTCTCAACTACTGTCTCTTTGGATTCTGCTTCTGCTCCATTTTCTCTCCTCTGTGCTCTGAAACTTCAGTTACACATACATTAAACATTCTTGCTGTGCTCCATGCTTCTCTTGCTCTTTTTCTCACTCTTTGCTTTTCCTCTGAGCTCCAGTGTGGATATTTTCCATTGCTCTGTCTTCCAGTTCACTCACCCTATCTCATTTTGCTTCCAGACTGCTATTGAACTATTCAAGGAATTCTTAATTTCAGACATTGTATTTTCAGTTCCAGAATATTGACTTCACTCTTTTTTATTGATTCCAATCCTCTTGAGACTCTCCATCTTTTAATCTATTTTGTTCACCATTTCCTTGAGTGTGTTGGTAATGGATATCTTCAAGTCCCTGTCTGATAACTACAATATCTGTCTGCATTTCCTGGTGGGTTTTAGTCATGTGGTTCTGTTATTTAGCATACATTGCCACTTTCTTGGCTCAAAACACTGCTCCTCTCAGCTCAGTCTGTTTCCTGCTCCAACGTTTGGGAAATATGCCTGAGAGTAAGAGCACAGTTTGTCCCTTACAACCGCCACCCTTCAAGTCCCACCTGTGCTGGTGGCTTTGCAAGTGTACATGTGTGTATGGGGTGGGGTTCTGCCTGGTGGGTAAGCCCAATACAAGCTAGTCACAGTTGAAGCTGGAGGTTCAAATAGTTTTCTTTAAAATAAATTAATGAGTTTTCTTTGGCACCTGAGTTATGTGAAACTGCCAAACTGGCAGTGATCAAACTGAATTCTTTATTTTAAATGCAGCGGAAATTAGTAAATTAACATCCCCAAGTGTGTAGTGGAGTCTTCTTCATCCCCCCCCAACACGACGTGTACCAAGTGTGTGAGGCCATCCCTCCACATTTTGTGACAAAGGTAAATATGCTGAGAAGCCCAACATGAATGTAAACTCAAAGCAAGTCTGTGGCAGCGAGTTGGTCTAAAGGAAGGATTAACCTTTCATTACTGAAATTCTGTGTTGAATAAAGCAGCCCTGGCCGATGTGGCTCAGTGGTTAGAGTGTCAGCCCTTGCAATGAAGGGTTTTGGGTTCCATTCCCCGTCAAGGGCACATACCTGGGTTTGTCTTCCACCCTGGTGGGGAGACGACCAGTCAATGTGTCTCTCCCCCCCCCCCACTCTCTCTGAAAAGCAATGGAAAAAAATATTCTCAGGTGAGCATCAACCAAAAGAAAGGAAGAGAGAGCAGTGTGACATTCTGATAATTTTTTAAAAAACAAGTTTTGAAATCAACCTGAGTACCAATATTTCAAGGAGAAATTCAACAAAAATAAGAGATGAAAATCCCAAATGAACCTACTGAAAATTCCACATGTTGGATGACCATACAGTTTTGAGGAAAATAATGTTAGATATCAGGACAAAATCAAACAGCTATTTATTCTAAAAATGTTTCTTACATCCCTCATTATTTCACCATCCAGCACAGACCTATTGCTTTTAGGTACAATGGAAACCTGTCTGAAATTTTTTAATTGCTTAAAAAATTTAACGAAAGCCCTTTAGCCCAACAGCACAGACAGACCCTCCACAATTCAGGTCTCCTTGTGGCCCCATCCACACACCATCTGCCTGGGAGAAAGTTTCCCAAGAGACCAAATAACTGCAGCAGCAGGGTTCACGTCCCACGCAGTTAACACAGAGCTGAAAACCAGGGCAGCCTCAGAGTCAGACGTCCACACAGGCCCCTCCTGCCACAGCGACCTAATGGCGCAAAGACCCATCACGACAAGAGAAAAGAGAAGGCGGTAACTAGAAATGACCTTCAACGGCAAACGGGCACTTACATACACCAGGCCTTTCGAAAAGGTGAGGCGCAGGGACTGGCCCGTCTTTTAGCTCCTGGGAACACCACTCCGGTCAGTTGCCTTAGCAACAACATCCTAAGCCTCTCTGAAAACCCAGCTTTTCTCTGTCATCAGAACTCGTCTATTGATGGCAAAGACGGCAGCGGCTACCTGGCCGTGCTGCTCAGTGGTCAGAGCAGCCGAAAGTGGTTGGCCCGCCAAAAGGTTGCGGGTGTAACTCCCAGTCAAGGGCACACACCTGGGTCGCAGTTTTGATCCCCGGCCCCCGTCAGGGCACGTGTGGGAGGCAACAAATCCATGTTTCTCTCTCCCCTCCCCCATCCCTTCACTCTCTCTGAAAAGCAATGGAAAAAATATCCTCAAGTGAGGGTTAAAAAACAAAGATGGTAGCGTCTGGGGCAGGCAGGGGCACGGGCCTGCAGATGGACCACGCCCGAGCACGGTCACCGCAGGGATGGGCGGGCGCGGACGGGGAGGGAGCTGCCTCTCAGGCTGATGGGGTTGACATCTTGCCCAGAAGCCCACCCTTCCCTGCTGGAATTCTCCAGAGCCCGGCATGGGGTCGCCTGCTGCTTTCCTCTGTCCTGGGTCCTGGAGCCCACCATGCCCACAGCCACCTGCCCTGCACGGTGAGCAGACATGAGAACAAATGTACATGAGGGGGCAACGGCAAACACGGGGCGCTCTGTCTAAAAAGCAGCAGTCTGGGTGCCTCTCTGTCAATGGTTGTGTCCTTTGGCCTGGGACAGATAGACCTGAACACACACATTGAGGCGTGGCGCTGGACTCTGTCCTCAGATCTTTCTA